GGGCGCTGACCGCGGGGCCCCGGCGCTGGGCGCTGACCGCAGGGCCCCGGCGCTGGGCGCTGACCGCGGGGCCCCGGCGCTGGGCGCTGCCCGCGGGGCTCCCGCCGCGGCTCCCGCTGCCCCGGCACGGCTCTCTCACGGCGCTGTTTTCCCGCAGGGGTCCCCTCTCGCGGGTCGGGGGGCGGCCGTGTCGCAGCGAGAAGCACCGCGACCTCCGGGGGCCGCGCCGGGCGCTCCTCGCTCTTCCCCTTCCCTTCCCCGCCCCAGCCGGGCGGACGGTGGTGAAGTTTGTTCCTTTTCCTCCAGAGGGGCAGGGAGGGACTGTTTCTCTCCCCTAGCTCCTTTCCAGCAGCAAGGCGTTAGTTCCCCCTGACTAGTTAGTTCGGTGCTGAGGGCCTTCCCCTGAGGGGGTTCGGCCCAGTGCCCCGGGGGGAGCCGTGTCTGAGGGGTCATTCCCCACCTCAGGACCCTCCAGAGAGGCGTAATTCCACACACACCCGCTCAGGACCCCGCAGTGAGGGGTAATTCCCCACACATGTGCTCAGGACCGCGGTAGAAGGAGTAATTCCGCACCCCCACGTGTGCTCAGGATCACGCAATGAAGAGCATTTAACCCCCTCACATCTGTATCCTTCCGGCCTTGAAATAAGAGGGAATTCCTCCCAAGTTGCTAAGGATCAAGCAATAAGGGGGAATTCAGAGGACCCTGTAGTGCTGGGCACAGCTGCCCTGTGCTGAGCACTAAGATGGGATATAATCATTATTGCCCAAAGCTAAAGGGAGAAAAGAGAACTTTTCTCTTGAGGGACCTTCCTCACACCCCCTGTTGCGGTCTCTACCTGCTTTAAAGAGCACAAAAATAAGCAAATAACACGATTTAGACCTTTCCTGTGTTCACGTCTCCCTCACTTGCAGCAGTGTCATGAGGCAGAGCTTCTTTCCTGTTCCATGTTTGAGGAATCTGGGCCTCTTGCAGTGCTTGTGTTCGGGTTTATGACCCCCAAGAGAACCAGCCTCCTCTAACAACAGCCCCTGCAGATGCTATTTATGTAGTTTACCTGCTTTCCCCTCATCTGTGCCTGATGAGGAGGAGAGAAGCCAGGTAATAATTGCTCCTCAGTCTGTAGTAATTCATCTGTGACACGAGGTGGGTTTTGGCTTCATTTTCTGATGTTCAGTTTGCTCTCAGACACCGGGGTGCTCTTGGCTGTGCACACAGTTACAGAAATCAGGTGTGCAAGCAGGTGAAAGTGAGGCCTGTTGTTATTCCACCACTCCACCTGCTTTTCCTCTTTTCAAGTTTTTTCCCCTCTGCTCTCCCCCTTTTACCTTCATCCATCCCTGTTCTCACTGCTAGCACAAGTTACGTGGCCAGTAGGGAGCAGGGCCTCATTTTAACTGGTCTGGTTTAATTCTGGGACAGTATTTGTACAGGAATATTCTGAATTTATTTATTCCCTATAGGGAATAAATACAGAGAGGTGGACAGGGGTTGAGCTATGGCTTGTTCCTAACAGAGTTTTATCTTTTACCCAAGTGCTGTCTTGGTATTTTTTTCTTACGAGAATTGTTTGTGTAAGAGCAGCCACTGAGTTACCTTTTCAGCCTGTCTTGTAGCTTCCAAGAGTCATGCAGACTCTTCTCTACCTGCCTGAGACCCTTAGGTGTGACCAGCTAAGCCCACAGAGCACAGGAGTAAATTCCCAGGTGCTTGGGGTTGGATTGATCTCAGCTATCTGGAATCTTCTGAAAATTAGGTTTTTAGTCCAAGGGGATTTTCAGGTGCTCAGAACTGTTAAAAGGAAGACCAGAGGCTCCCTCTGGGTGATAATCCCCTTCTGTGATAGGTAAGTCAGGTGATCTGCCTGGTTTTAGTGACTGAAAGAGTGTGGGTTAATTTTTTGGTGGCTAAAATTAGAGGGTTATGTCTGTTTTGTTATGAGAGAGAGGGAGCACTGAAAAGGGAAAAAAGGGATGTTCTGTGATCCAGCCTCAAACTTGCTGCTTTACCTGAGAGGTTTAAGGCAGGTGTGTCTTGCTGAGTTGTGAGGTTGCTAAAAGCACCTGGAATGCCCTTTCAGTGGGGCAGTGCAGACGTGGGATTTGGAAATCCTTAGTAAAGTTATTTTTCTCTAGGTTCTGTCAGATGCTGTTAAAAGATCATAATTGGGCAGCTCGACAGCCTTTCCACCAACTGCTGCAGAAGAAACCATCTCTTCCGTCTGCAGTGTGGCATCGTGCAGGTGAGTCAGTGCCAGTTAAAAAGGAACAGCTGAGCAGGGGCTGAGTTTCTGTGTCTTTTGGTAGTGCTGAAAGTTTGCTGTTCTTTCTGAAATCTGAGTGTGGTGGCAGCTCCTGGGTGGGTTTTAAGGCAGTGCTGGTGCATCTGGACATCTGGGGCTCGGGCAGATGTGGAGGCTCACTGTGTGCTGGTTATATGTGTTTTTCTGTACCATTCAGCTGCCAAGACTTTGTTAGTGCAGAGCATTATTTGGGCTTTGCTGCACTTCTTAATTTATTTTCTGTATTGGTGTAAATGTGTCCGTTGGGAAAGACTTTATGCTGCCTTCTGTCCTGCTGCAGCTGCTGACTCTGCCAGGTGACATTGCTGAACGTGGGAAGGCTGAAAGCAAAGCTTTTCATTTTCAGAGCTGCAATATTTTCTTTATTTTAATTTCCACCTCTTGATCGTGCATCCATCTGTGGTGCATTAGCTGGATTCTCCAGTGATATTACATCTGCAATTTGGTGTTAGCCTGAAAAAGCCACGTTTGAGGATGAGTTTGTTGTACCTGCCATTTTTTTGGTAGGCTGCAAAGCTCAGGAAAGGAAGAAAAATATAAAAAACCTGCGAAACTTGTGCCACAGAAAACTCTGTGTTTTTGCAGCTGCCTGAGGAATTTAGAGACAGAAAGATTCTGCAGGTGCTGTTGCATGGAATTAGTCACAGATGGAAATATTATTTAAATGAGTCTGCTCAGGCAGAAGGCTCTAATTTTGGTTTCAGAGAGTCCAACCTTAGCTGGTGCAGCACTGTTTTCTCTCTTTCAGTTCTAACAACAGGCAGATTGATGAGTACACTCAGTGTTTTACCTGTTTCTGATAAGTAGACAGTGTTTGACCTGTTCCTCCCCATGTCCTGGTAAAGGCTGTCTCAGCTTGGTTTGTTCCCTCACCTGGAGCAGTTGGAGAACAGGATAACAAGCAGGTGCTCCCAGAGCTCTGCAGAGGCTCCAGAGAACAGATGTCAGAGGTAAACACAGCCAGTTACCAACCTGGGAGTGATAAATCCCAGGGAGCTCCTCACAGCTGGGCAAGGAGCTCCCCAGGCTGGGTGATGATTGACAGACCTGCTCCTAGGAAAGCAGCTCTTCACTGCAGAGCACTTCAGAACACAGAGCCTGCCCTCCTGGACACTGCTGGGAGGGTTCATCTGCCTGTTTGTGATTTGGGGTGTTGGATCACACCTGGATGAGCAGTGTCCAGTGGCTGTCAGTGACCCACTGCTTCCAAAAAACAGGCAGAGGGGACTCAAATTTACACATCCAGGTTGTGCCAGGTGGGATTTGGATGCCAGCTGGATCTGGAAGATGGGTAGTTCTTCTATCCCTGTGGATAATCTAATTGCTTGCTCTATCAGGAGTACTCTTTTCATCTTAAAACTAAGTCCTTCCTCCTAAGTTTGTTTTTTTTTTCTTTCAAAAAACAGAGAGAAAATGGAGTGTGTGCCTATTTACCATTGTGTATATTTGAGTCACAGGGATTGTCACCATGACAGACACATGAAGCAACAATTTGACAATTTATAAACAGTGTGATTTGCCATTCAGTGCCAGGGAGTCATGAGCAAAATGGCACTTTAGAAAAATGAAAATGTCAGCTCTTTTTACTGCTTTAATCCTTCTAGTGCATGTTTTTTAAATTTATGTGAGCTTGTTTCTCAAATATAATTTATAAATATTAGCTCCTGAAGATTTTTTGGTTTAAAATGCACTTTTTTTCTTTCCTGCGTGTTTGTATCTCACTGTGTTATTGGGTGTGCAGGGAGTAGGAAGAAGAACTAGAATATGAGGGAGAGACTGTCCCTAACTGATGTTCAGCTTCAGTGGGACATCAGGCACGTGCTGCATGGACATGTCTACAGAAAAATACTATTAAATGTACACCATTAAATGTAGAGTATTAAATTTTAGTTAAAATCAGGGTTTTTTACACTCTTCCAGTGAGACAGACGCAGTTGAAAAAGGAACTTCAGTAAAAATGTATCTTTAAAAGAAGTTTGCCAGTGAATGGTAAATAGTTTATTGTAAATTGCTTGGTCAGTTCAATTTTTGGAGGGTAAGTGATGGCTCACAGTAATTTTTCACCCTGTGGAAAATCTAAGCAGGGTCTGCCTTACTGTAACTCTTGTTACTCTGGTTTTTCTTTTTTATAGTGCTGAAAAATGAGATAAAACCCAAACCCCATAACTCATGTGCATCTTCAAGAGAGAGTTAGCAAAACTGATTCTACTTTAATCTGGAAAGGGGATTAAATGGTGTTTGAGGATCATAAAATAAAACAAGCCCAGGCAGCAGAGGCCTGCAGGGTGCAGCTCTGGGCCCTCAGCAGAAGGTGAGGCTGGCCCTGGCCTCGTGCAGCTCGATGCTCTTGCAGCAGGATGCTTTTTACTAAATAAAAGTTAACAAAAGAAGCAAAGACAAGGTTCCATGTCTCACAGGTTTTCCTGTGAGGTGACCTGCCTGTGTTTTCCAGTGTTCCTGTGGGTCTGGAGCTTTCCCTGGAGCCCGTGGTGGTTTTGGAGCCCTGTGGCTGCCCAGGCTGCTGTTGCTGGAGCAGAGGGATCCAGCAGGCCTTGACTTCTCACTGAAGCTCCTTAGGTTTGATGATATTATTTTTCTCCTTTGTTTTTGTATTTCCAGTGAGAGGCATGTTTATTCAGACTCAGGACACACCAAATCCAAATAGCTTGAAGTTTATTCCGGGGAGGGAAGTGCTGGAGTCGAGGACGATGGAGTTTTCCACACCAGCTGCAGCATTTTGCTCACCTTTAGCAAGGTATTGCTGAACACATCATGGTGGGTTTGGGGGCTGGTGTGGGCTCTGTGTCTACAACTGATGCTTTTAAGCACAACTGCTGATCATTCTGCTCCTCTTTAGAAGCAGCTTGGTTGGATTTGAGTTTTTAATGCTGCTTTATTTGTGCTTAAGATTACAGCTGGGGGTTGGCGTTGCTGAAGTTCTGTGTGTGTGTGTGTCCTCCCCTCAGCTCTGTCATGGCAGAAGGCACCATGAAGGTCTAGTTTATGCAACTGGATTGAAAGGTGTTATAAATCAGTGTTTGTGAGCAGTTGCTGCATCACCAGTGAGGCCTCTGGCCCCAGTTTCACAAATTCTTTCCCATCAGAGCACTCTGAATTCAAGGAGTTACTTGGAAATCATGTAACTTTTCACAACTGGGAAACAGGCAGTGAACAGTCCCCAATTACCATGAAATAAATGCAGTAGCTCCCCTTGGCAGGTGTTGGGGCTGCCCTGAACTTCCAAAGGTTTATGCTTCCCTTCAAGGAAGGCCAGGTTTGCCCCCTCTTTTGGGCTGGATCTGTAGCAGCTCCTGGGAGTGCAACTTTCAGTACCAAAATGCATAATCTGGAGTAAGAACCACTGAGCACAAGCTTTGTTTATATCACCTTGGTATAGAAGGGGTTTGGAGCACCCTCACAAGTCTCTGGGAATATTTGGAAGCATCCACTGTGCACGTGTGTCAGTGCTTTCACATCACTCTGCAAATAAACTCTGTGTTCTCTGGGTAGAGGGGCTTCAGTGTGGGGGTGAGATCCAGAAATGCCACAGTAGGTCACCAGTTTAAAGCATCTTTTTGTAGATAGGAAGGATTGTGGGCAAAAGCAGGAGCTGTTGGATGTGGCTTTCCCTCCAGGAGCTGCAGCTCTGTCTCTTGCAGGGTTGTTTGAGAGCAAAGAGGATCTTTGCAAGCAAAGCTCCGTGACTTAAAATCATAAATCCAATGTGAAAGGTTTCTGAGGACATCCAAACATGTTAGCAGAGGGCTGCAGCTGCAGGATCTCACTGTGCCAAAGTGCATCAGGTTGCAGAATGTAATGGACTGTCAGAAAGTGGCTTTTTGTTGTCATGTATTTGCAAATAGACATTTTAATCAGAGATTATTTATTGCTGGAACGCGTATTGTGGCAGCTTGGGGGTGGGTATTGTGCAGGTTCATGGGAAGAATCATCTGCTCTGTGTATTGTTGAAGCCCAGATGATGTTTTCTGTAAAGGGAATACTAATTTATTTTAAAAGGGAATATTAATTTTCCAAAGAATTAATAAACGCTTCCTGAAGGGGAGGGAGGGGAGAGAATTCTTTAATTGATCTCAGATGGTTTGGTGCACTTACACAATTTCATGGTTTAAGTAACTTCAAAATGCAGTTGGTTTAGTGCTGCAAACACCCAGTGCAACTGTTCCATGTGTAGAGATTCTTTCAAGGGGGTATTGTGAAATCTCTTTTGTCATTTTCCATCACATGGACTTTTGTGATAAGATTTCCAATTCCTTCATTTATTGCATTTTGATGTTTTGCAGTCTTTCAGGAGAATATCTTATCTTTTTCCCCCATAATTGCAAAAAACCCTCTTACAGCCCTGTGCTGTATTTACCTCCGAGTGCATCCTGGTTTTCATATTTTTTTATTTTCTCTGTAGATGAATTTGTTGGGTTTTCATTAAGCATTTTTGAATATTGGGTTATATATTCTCATTTTCATTTTTGTACTTAAACCATTGTCCAAAATATGCTCTTTCCTATCACGTAAGTATTTGTGTGCTCATTCACCACCTGGATGTTGGGTTCTGTATGGGGCCACCCCAGGCAATTTACTGTGAGTCTCATGCCTTTATTAAATGCCCTTTTTCCTTGCCTTGCTAATGACTGAAAATACTGAAGATGCCTCCCAAGGTGAGCTGGTGTGTTAGAGCTGCTCAGCACTAACCCTTGTATTTAGTGGCAGTTTTTATTGAGCTCAGTGACTTCAGATCACTTTAAGGAACTTCCCTTGTCTTTGCTCTAGTCCTGCCTGAAACAACAGGTGCCTCCTGGTTTTGATGCTGAGCAAATAGCTTGTAATGTACTGAATATAATTTTGCCCAAAGAACTGGAGAGAGAGTAACTCTCACAGAGTAACTCTCACATGTCTGGTGGAAAGCCCTGTAAGGTGTGCTGGGTTTTACTCTGGGCTCTGCCTAAGCCGTGGGGGAGGTAACTGCAGTTTCTCTTAATGGCTCTGGGTTTAGTGCTTATTTTTGTCTAGAAGTGTATTCTAGAACTTCTGTGACAGATTATATAAATCTTGAGTTTGCCTGAAATGTGGGTGCATTTTTGTCATGTTTTTGTTGTTGTTGTTTCCTGAACAGACAGTTATTCAGGATTGAAGGAGTTAAAAGTGTTTTCTTTGGACCAGACTTCATCACGATCACCAAGGTGAGCAGAGCAGAGGCTCAGCTGTGCTGAAAGCTGAGCTGTCTGGAAATGGCCACGGAGCAGATCCAGCCAGGCCCTGGGACATGCAAGTGGAAGTTCCAGAGGCAATGGCCACAAATGACTGAAGGGAATTACCTTTAGTGCAAAGAAGATAAATCATTGCAACGTGTGGCTAAGCACTGGGATGGGCTTCCCAGGGAAGCTGTGGATTCTCTGATCTTGGGAATGGTCAGCATTGGACTGACTGAGGCCCTGTGCACATGGTCAGCTTGGAGGTTGGCTGGCTGACCTGTGGAATGCTTCCTGGTGGCACAGGAGCAGGAGGGGAACCTTGCAGGCCCTGTGGTGTTTGCTCAAGGTGTGGAGCTCGTGTCAGAGAGATAAGGAGCTCCTTAGGAACTGGGCAGGCTCTGACTGTGTGAAGAACACAGGGCAATTCAGGGAGTGAGAATTTGATAATTTGGTCTCTGAAACAGTTTGGTAAAAATATCTGTCAAATAATGTATTTAGGAGACTTTCACAACTTTTTAGCTAATATTTTAATAGCACTTGGCTTGCAAACCAGGAGACTGTTTTGTTGACTGTGATAAATCGACTCTCACTAAACTTCTTTGGCAAAGCTGGGCTTAACAAAACTGTGAAATCAAATCCATGTGTAAACATGCGAGTCCATGAGGGTATTTGTAATGTAAGAAGAATCTTTGTGTAACTTATTACTATTAGGAGGCAGGTATTCACACTTTCTTTTTACTGTTCCTTTTTTTTTCCTTTTAATTCCCATAGGAGAGTGAAGACCTGGACTGGAACTTACTGAAACCAGATATTTATGCAGCTATAATGGATTTCTTTGCCTCTGGTTTGCCTGTGGTCACTGATGAGGCACCCAAGACAGATACAGGTAAATGAAGGCAAGAGGTCAGGTCTGCCTTTGGGTTCAGCTTCTGTGACGTGCAGAAGAGCCTCAGGAGAGCAAGCAAGAGAATTGGAATTTAAATTTAAACCCTCTCCAGTGGAATTAGCAGCCTGTCTGAGGGAGCTGCTCAGCCATGACCCCAACGTGTGCTGTGTGTGACATCCCAGGGCTGTGCTGAGCTGGCCTGGGCCCTGTTCTGCTGCTCCCCAGGAGGGGAGATGTGTCTGCAAGTACTGAGGCAGAGTTTAGAAAGCCCTGGGGGGTTGCTGCCTGTCCTTTTTGTATGGGCACCTTAAATAGAAAAAGGAGTGCCCAGGCTTAATGACAGTGCCTTAATGACAGGTTTATGGTCTTAAATGAACAAAAAATAGTAAGGGGTCTTTTCCAAGCTATAATAGAAAGTAACAGACTAACTGACAATTTAACTCAAGGGTAGTATTTTGCCTTTTATTTTTTCATGTGCAACTTACCAACTTAAAGTTTTTTTCAGTGTTTTCAGGGAAATTATGACAATTGAATTCCTCTCTGCTCTGTCTGAATTTAATTTTAATATTAACATAACCTTTATTTTATTGAAAAGGTTCTCTCAGAAATGCTTCTATGAGTCTAACACTAAGCTTAGAATTGCATCCAAAGCTGCTAAACCCCAACATGTGCATAATTCTCCTGCTGAATTTTTTAGCTTGCTAAAGCCTTCCTTCTGAGGACCCTGCCTTAAGCCCTGCATCCCTATGGAATGTTAGTTGTTGCTTCCTTTAAAAAGTGGAACTGCTGCTCTCTGCCAAGGCCTTTGCCTCTTGAGAACTCTGAACCAGCTGGGTTTTGCCAGCAAAAGCCTGGGATGCAGATAAGGATAATGCAGGAAAAGATACTCTGAATTAAGATTTCTGCCTTTTGGTTTCAGGCATCTCAGCAGTGTTTTCTGCTGTTTCATTCTGCCACCATGGATATCCAGGGTTAGCATCCTCCTGGAATCCATGGATATCCTGGGTTAGCATCCTCCTGGAATCCATGGATATCC